GGGAGCCTGCACGCAGGCGGCTTGCTAGGCACAGTTTGCAGAACATAATTGGTAAAACATAGGCTGAACCCAACTAGGCGCGGCAGGATAAAGTGGGTGCGGCCGCAAAAGCTGAGGGCAAGGAGAGGTGGTGAGCCAGGTCCCCGGAGCAGGGGTGAGCGTCACCCTCCCAATCGAGGGCCTGGAAGGTGACTGAATCCTGAGGAAGCTGGACGCTGCCCTCTGGAGGGCTCCCCTTTTCTCGCGGGAGACCTGTACGATGAGAAACTGTATTAAATGTTCCTCTTTTGTCTTTTAAAGATTTTATTTTTGTGGAGAAGAACTGGGGTGCAGACCAGAGGTTATGAGGGGTGAGAGCATCCACTAGAGACTAGAGAGGGGAGCGGAACAGGCAGGTCCCCTGAAACATGCTAGGGGGGGGGAGGTCTGCTGCCCCTGGGGTCACTCCCTGGCTGGGGATGAACTCAGGCAGCAGTGGCTGGTGAGTGCTGGTGAGTGCTGAACATAACCCCTAGGCTACCAGGGAGGCCCTAAATGACACCCCCCCACACACACACTGAATTTTATCAATGAAATGCCTGTGGAAAGTTACTTTCTCCTTTTCCTAGTAAGCCTGTCTATTTAAATGTCACCTTTGCCTGCTCGTGTCTGTGCAAATGTCTTCTTCCCCTGGGTAAAGAAGTTATTTTTGTCTCAGGCCCACACACCCTAAGATATTTACTCTCTGTCCTTTCTGGAGAAAGTTGGTCAACGCCTGTGCTCAAAGATATTTTTGAAACGCAGTCACGTTAGAAGATCGATCACGCCTTCCAGGGTTTGGTCATTTCTTAATGCACCTAATATCCAGGAGACACTTGAATGACACCAAATCAGAGAGGCCCTGAGGATTGATTTATGGTGTTAGGAAGGGAGGAGACAGAGGTCAAGGGTGGAAAAGGACTTGTCCAGTGTCACGCAGAAATCCCAGAGCAGAAACACAGATCATGGGGCAGGCAGGGGGAAGGGAGTCTCTGGCAGGGGCACACACTGGGTCAGGGGTTCAGGGGCAGTACCAGGGCCCCAGTTCAGACTGGCTTGTGTGAGGATGGTGGGAAGCCGTGGGGTGGCTTGGGGTGCAGAGGGACTGATGCTGGCTGGCGCCTAGGGCCTCCCCACCTCCCTTGGGTTCTGAAAGCCTGTTGTTTCTGACTTCCTGCTTTGCCTCCCCCCTTTCGAGAACAGCTCCTTTTCTTTGGGGTCCAGTGAGCGAGACGGGTCCAGTGGGTTCCCTCTTCGAGAAGTTTCTACAGCTCAGACACAGCCGGCGAAGGAGACTTGTTTAAAGGACAGGTTTATGGGGACAGAGAGAAATACGAGGCGGGCGCAGAACCTGCCCTGAGAGTCTTCTCTTTGGGAGGGGCTCATTCTTCTGGAAGTTCTCCATAGTGACATTAGTTACTTCTGGGGTGTGCCCAGGTTGATTTGGAGGACTGCTGTTTCTCCATAAAAGCCCTCCATCTCCACACCCCACCTCTGGCCTGCGCCTTGATGCATCCTACAGCGTCTGGCTCTGTTACAGCAGCTGGCGTGGAAAGTTTCCTTTTCTGCAGCCGGTTGAACAACTGGGTCCACCGTGGCTATGCCACCTCCAGTTCTGCGTGAGATGCCTCCATGCTTAATTCTCTACTCTCAGCCCATCCCTACCAGAGTCTCAAGTATTTGCAATGGCCACTGAGGAGTAAACTGCATGTGTGTGGGCCCGCGAGCGAGTGGACACTCTGCCTGTCCCTCTGTCTCCATTTCGCATTCCCGTATATGTGGGTTGTTTCCGGTCTCCAAGCAGACCTGGTTCAGCAAACCCAGAAGGAACAAAGCTCTTTCTCTGCCATGCGATGAACCCTGGAGCGGAGCTGGCATGGTGCAGCCCAACGCCCCGCCCTCCAGCTGTCTGGCTGGGCAGGGGGTGGGCAGTGGGCGGCTGGAGGAGGGGCAGTTTCATCAGAACTGTATGAAAAGGGGGGGGAGCCTGCCCCAAGCAGCAGGAGCAGAGGGAGGGCAGAGCAGGGTAGGGAGGGCAGAGCAGGAAGTCAGAAACAACAGGCTTTCAGAACCCAAGGGGAGATGGGGAGGCCCCAAGTCTCCAGTCCAGGATCCCCCGGGGCGGGCACACCTGGCAGGGCGGCTAGGTGCCAGCTGCGGGCACCGTGAGTCACCGGGCCAGGGTTCAGGACGCAGTCTGAGGGCGAGGGAGGTATGAGACCATGCCGGGGTGGGACTCGGGAGCAGGCGCTGACCCCAAGGGGCATGGGAGGGGTGGCATTCGGGGCTCCATGGAAGTGGGGTGCACAGCATGGATGGGATTCTGATACTACTACTGCTAATAATAATAATAGTTATTATTATTATTTAGCAAAACAAGACTCTGAAAGCATGTGAGGTTGTTGGGGGAAATCCCCTTTGGGGGCTGCAGGTTGGAGGTGCGTCCGGGCTTTGAAGTCACCCCCCTCTTACTCCTTAGCTATGTGACTTTGGCCAGACAATGTAACCTCTTCTGAACCTTCATTTTCTCATCTATAAGTTGGGGGACCCAACTTATAGATGAGGAGTGGAGAGGAGAGGGACACCCACACAGTGCCCAGGGAAGGAAGCTGCTCTCTCCTTCCCGGGCTTTACTGAGACCTCCCTTCATCATGAGAAGTAGATGTTGCTCCCCCACTTTACAGAGGACAGAGGTGGGTCAGATCATCTGCAGCGCAGAGTCTCAGTGATGCCTGGGGGGGGCGGAGCTGGGGTCTGGGGGTGACAGGGGTGGGTGCCCAGGGTAGCTAAGGTGAACAGTTGGCACGTCCCTCCCCTCACAGAGGCCAGTGTCAACCACAAAATCAGACTCAATCACTAAGAGCCCCCCCCCCGCGAAGGGGGGGCAGGGTGCGGGGGAGCCCCCATGACCTCGCAGTGAATAACCCTGGGGTCCTGGAGGATGGAGTCGGGAAGATGGTGCAGGAAGTGGGGTTGGGGGGTCCCCGGGGTTGGAGACTCAGGCAGCAGGGAGCAAATCCTAAGTCCTGCTAACATACCGCTCTCTGCACCCCCACACCCCCACTCGGGGTTGGGAGGAGGTCAGCCCGAGACCCAGGGGCCCAGTCAGCGCCTCCTGCCGGCTGTCTGCCTGGAGGTCACTGGGTCACTGGGCGGGAAGTCCAGGTCAGGGTCTGGTGTTTGATTGATAAGCGAATCAGAAAGCTTGGGACCCTGGCTTGAGCTTAGACGTTATTTTAGAGTAGAAGCTGGCTGGAAAAGAGACTAGCACCGGATAGAAGTCGGCGTGAGAATCGCACGCATGGGGGCTGAGCCCCGGAATACGGCGGGGTGGGGGCTGATTCCGCCGTGCCTGGCCCGGGTTTGGGACTGAGCTGTGGTTAAGACCCGGGCACAGTTAGGGCTCAGGGTTAAGGCTGGTTGAGGTGTGTGTCTCTTGCCTGAGCTGGAACCTGGTCAGGGTTTAGGATTCAGGTTGAGGCTGAAGCTGGAGCTGGCCAAGTTATGTTAGAGCAGGCTCGGGGGTTAGGACTGAGGGTTAGGGCTGAGCTTTCTGTGCTCCATGGATTCTTCTGGAATAAGCAAAGCACAAGGTGCAAAGTGGAATGTCAAGGAAGCTCATGCCTGTGTTATCACCAGCCCAAGCACCCTGACTGCACTGGCCGCCTCAGCCTCAGTGTGGGATGTAGGCAGTGGTTTCCGGGAAGATCTTGAAAGGGACAAGATCTAGACAGAGGTATGAAGAGGAAAAGACATTTCCCACAGAGGGCCTCCCTGGGGGCTGGGCGTTAAGCCTCAGTCCATCACCAGCCTGAGTCTTATACCCACAAGAAATACTGCCAGCGCCTGGGGAGCTTATGGGGGTGCCAGCCCAGAAACTGGTTTGATTTTTTTTAACATTTATTTTTATTTACACATGAATACAAGAGTTGGGGTAAAAACCAGAGGTCCGTGGGGGTAAGAGGACTCCCCAGAGACAGAGTGGGAGCAGAACAGACAGACTGACTGAAATCCACTGCGGAAGGGAGCAGCAGGGAGACAGGAGGGGTCTGTCCCACCAAGTGGGTCACCTGGGAGGAGTGAGGGTAAGGGGATGGAGGCGTGCCCCAATTCCAGCTGACAGCACTGAGGCCACCAGGGAGGTCCCTGCTTTAATTTTCTTAATTTAACTTAGCCTCAAGGGCAGTCTATACACAAGAAGGAGTGCATGAGTGTGGCTGATGTGAGCGCCAGACGGGCGCGCTATGGAAAAGCCCTTGGTGCGCTTCAGGGAGGGAGAGTGAGGCAAAGTGAGGCTCTCCCTGAGAGGGGTGAAGGCAAGAAACCAGCCTAGAGGAGGGCCGGCTCAAAGCCCATTCCCGGAGCTGCGCTCCCCGCGTCCCGCTCTGGCCCGGGAGCCCTGCCTGCCCTGGGCGGCCTCCAGCCCAGGTGGGCCCCGCGGGGGCGTGCTGACCGGCCCGGCCCGCCCCTTTCCGGCTGCGCAGGGGAGGGAGGCGGAGAAACAGTGGACGGGAGATTGCTTTAGCTGCCTAAGGGGTTCGAGATAAGGAAGGGGGCGTCCCCCAGCGGGCTCTGCCTGCACCCCAGGGCGCTGGGGGCGGGCACGGGGCGCGGGGTTGTATAAGAAGCCGCCGCGCGCGCGGGGCTGGACACTCTCGGCTTGCTGCTGGACGGAGGTCGGATCGGATAGTACCCAGACCCTCCCCAGGTGAGAGGCCGAAGAGCGCGGACCCGGGGCGCAGCGGCGGCGGGAGGACGGGCTGGAGGTCCGTAGCTTGGGGCCTCTTAGGGTAGAAGGAACGAGGGGCGGGGCTTAGGGTCTAGAAGGGGCGCCCCAGCTTCCTGGGTCCCAGGGCAGGGGCCGGAGGGAGGAAGCTGGGGTCCGTCTCCCGCTGCCTGAGCTGTGTCCCCCCTGGCCTAGCAGGAGACCGACCTCCACACGGTGCCCCAAAGCCCACAGCCCACCATGGCGGGACCCCTCCTCCCTCTGCTGATCCTTCTGCTCTCAGCGCTGGGGAGCGCCCAGCAAGGTGAGAAAGGCTCCAGGGCCCTCTGCCAGGGAGTCCCCACGGGGCCCCCACCCCTCCAGCAGCTTCCTCCCCTTTCTTCCCCTTTTTCTGGCTGGGGGGGTGCTCCCTCCCCACCCACAGCCCGTGGCTCCTGCCGTGGGACCTCTCAGCTCTTGAGGCTGCCTCTGGACCAGACGCACCCCGGTTTCTGGGCATTCTCTCCGTGTCTCCCCGCCACCCCCGCGTTCTCGGCCCTTGTCTGCGTTCTCTGCCGTCTTTCCATCTGTCTGTCCACCCGTCTGTGTGTCTCCACCCGTCTCCCTCTGGCTTCCCTGCTCACCGGCGCTTCCCTATCTCTCTCCAGGCCAGGGCGACAAGAGCGGGGAGAAGATCATTGACGGGGTCCCGTGCACTCCAGGCGCCAACCCCTCGCAGGTGGCCCTGCTGCGGGGGAACCAGCTGCATTGTGGGGGTGTGCTGCTCAGCGAGCGGTGGGTGCTCACCGCCGCCCACTGCAAGATGAAGTAGGTGCCGCCGCTCCCCTGGGGCTAGGTCTGTCTCCCCTGGTCTCTGCCCCCCAGCCCCCCACCCCCGCAGTCCCCCTCTAACTGTGGCCCCCTTCCCAGTCAGTACGTGGTGCACATGGGCAGTGAGAAGCTGGAAGACAGGGGCAGCCAGAAGATCCGGGCCACAAGGTCCTTCGTCCACCCGCAGTACTCCACGCAGACCCACGTGAATGACATCATGCTGGTGAGACTCAACACGCCGGCCAGGCTGACAGCCAGGGTGAAGAAAGTCAGCCTCACCTCCCGCTGCGAGCCCCCCGGGACCATGTGCACCGTTTCTGGCTGGGGCACCACCACCAGCCCTGACGGTGAGGCCCCTGGGCGCCTGCGCTGCCCCTCCCGCTCAGGCCTGGGGCTCCAGCACCCCCTGCCCCCCTCCCGGAGTCCAGGTTTAGCCTTTTTATGACCCTCACGTGAGCCCACAACCACCTCTGGTCTCCCCTCCAGGACCCTGGGTCCCCACCCCCTCCCCGTCGGGACCCAGGGTGCGCAGACCCTGGCTCACTAATGGCCCTCCCCTCCCCGCAGTGACCTTCCCCACGCAGCTCATGTGCACGAATGTCAGGCTCATCTCCCCCCAAGACTGCAAGAAAGTTTACAAGGACCTGCTGGGAGCGTCCATGCTGTGCGCCGGCATGCCCGACTCCAAGACGAACGCCTGCAACGTGAGCCCGCCCCCAGCCGCCGTCTTCCCGCGGGCGGAGTCTGTGGGCGCGCGGGCCGCGAGCCTTCTCGCCCCGCCCCCGCCCCCCGCCGGCTTCAGAGCGCCTCCGACCGCTCCTTTGCCTGGGTCTGGAGTCGGAGCCGGGGCTGCGTGGCCCGGAGAGGGGGCGTTGACGGACTAGGGAAGGGACGGGGAGGTGGGCGGGAACCCGGAAGGTGCGCCTGCCCCTGGCTTTAAGTGCCAGTTTAAGGGGGCTTCCAGGAAAACCCACGTGGCCGAGGGAAATCATATTTGAAAGCAGTATTTAAAAAACCCTCCCATCCGTGCAGTCCCTAAGGAAAAACACCAGCTTGGGGCAGGAGCCGGCCCCCTCTGAGTTCCCGTTTGCTGCGGCCCAGCGCGGCCCAGCACAGCCCCGTGCCGAGGAACCCTTTGCCCTTTCTCCAAAACTGGCTCGTGTTCATCGTGGGGTTTTTTTTTTTTTTCCAAGTTAAACCTGACTTTTTGAAGTGCTGCATGAGAACAGCACCTGCTGCGCTCGAGACCGAGCTGGAAGCTCCTCCCGGCCGGCCAGTCCCGGGCAGAGGGCGAGGGCGCAAACTCCCTCTCCTCTTTGCTCTACTCCTCCTCTTTGGTACCCCTCTGTCGCTGAACCCCATCTTCTTCCACTCAAATTCATTTTACTCTTCTTCTGTGTTGGGATCTCTACCCCACACTCCGGACCCCCCTTAGTTTTACCCTCTCCTGCTGTGGTCTTGATCTGGAGACTTTTTGAACCAGGGGTTCACACGTTCATTTTGCACTGGGTTCTGGGAATGATGTCATCCGTCCGGCCCCAGTTTCCAGGCCTGCCCCGCCCAATGTGAATGGACACTGATCTCCATAAGCCACGCCCCTTCCCTGTGATTGGCTGTCTTGGCGGGGACGCCATCCAATGTCTTCAGAGCATCTCTTTGTCCTCCCGTGACCGGTCTGATTCTGTTCTCCCGTTGGTCGCTGGGCAGGGAGTCTCTTCCCATTGGCCAGGGTGGGAGTCAGCGGTGCTGGTAAATGACACAGGACGTGGGCCCTGGGCTTTGCTCTGTAGCTGAAACTAACGTGTTCTTTCTCTTCAGGGGGATTCAGGGGGACCCCTGATGTGCAAAGGGACCCTGCAAGGCCTGGTGTCCTGGGGAACCTTCCCTTGCGGCCAAGTCAACGACCCAGGGGTCTACACCCAAGTCTGCAAGTTCTTCAAATGGATAAGGGAGACCATGAGGCGATACCGCTAGTCAGCGCATCTCTCCACCCAGACAGGAAACGAACACCCCGACAGGAAACGGGCAGAAATCAGACTTCCCGTGGCCTAGACTCACCTTTACCTTTCCTCGAAGACACCTTAAAACTTCCACATCATGTCACATGTGTGAGCCCATCGAATTGGCAAGGACCTCAAGCCCTATCAGGAACCCCGAATCCTCCACGCTCCTCCGCTGCTGCGTGCACCCAGCACTCCTCCACCGGGACTAGAAACTGGTTACTTTTCACAGCGGGTGACACCCCATTCACCACCTAAGACCCGTCACCCTCATTCTCGGGAAAGACCCCCCGGGACCGACATGTGGCGCAGGGCTCGAACTCGTGACCCAGTCACACCAGGGCCGGACGTGCCAGCAGCGTGGACTGTACACAGTGGGCCGGGCTGAGGCAGGACACAGGCAGCCGCCAACGAGGACGGCGCAGAGCTGTGTCGTGCAAGAACACTTATGCTGCCTGCTGTGCTGAGAAGCGGGAGCCACAGGCAGGCCAGATCTCTGCTCCCCGCTGTTGTACACTGAGTCACAGAATAAAGCTCACAGGCTCTCGCCCAGTTGCGTGTGGGCACACTCGGGGGGGCGCCCTTCTCCCTGGGGCCTGCAAGGGCGTGGAGGTGCGTGTGCAGCAGCGGGGCTCAGCGGGCTGGAGCCTGAGACGCACAGGTGGGCGCCCTGAGGGGACAGCCGAGGAGGGACCCGGCCTCACCCCCTCCTGCCCCCCAGGGCCAGGTCTCTGCGTCCCTCTTGGGGCAGAGGAGGGGAAGGAGCCAGGGGACACAGATGAAGCCAGTCCTGGGGGTGGGGGTGTGAGTTTCTCAGCATCTCACGGGACAGTTGAGGAGCCAGGCGGGGGCAGGAGGGTCACCTGGCCCCGTGAGGACCTGCCAGGACAGCACCAGCTTCCCGGGCGGCAGAGGGAGACAGGCGGGTGCACTGGGCGGTGGGCTTCAGTTCTCTCCCCGAGGCAGGAGGGGCCGTGGGTGCAGCGACAGTGACTCAGCCGGCCTCTCCCGGTGTGGTTGCTTCGGAGGCTCCGGTCCTGGTCACGCCTCAGACGCTGCTGACAGGGCGCTCCCACCTGCCTTTCCAGTTTCTCCCCCAGATTGCCTCTGGGCCAGTAGCCTCCAGACCCTTCCTCCTTCACCTCCTCGCCTCTTTCTGCACCCCCATACACACTCACCCCCGGGCTGGAGATTCTGCAGCTACTGATTCCTGCGAAGGGAGGGTAATTGCCTTCTTCCCAGAAAAACAGGCGTTCAGACGCCCCCTGCTCAGGCTGGGGTCCCAGGTCCGAAGCTTTAGGAACCCCCATCCTCTTTCTGCCTTCAAGTTTAAAGAGTGACAGAGATGTTTGACTCCACTAAGCTCTATCACCCTCCACTCTGCAGCAAGCATCCCCAACTCAAGATCGAACCCAAACTTTTTCAAGTAGCACACGTCGCCGCCCGTCTGCCGCGAGTCCCGCCTCGCAGTGCTGTATGCCAGCCTGGCCTGCAGCAGCTGGAGACGGCCCTCTTGTCACATTAGAAAAGACTTCTTTGTTAGGCATGCAAGAACTGGGGTGCAGCCAGAGGTGTGGGGTGAGATGGCTCACCAGAGAGAGTGGGGAGCAGAACAGGCAGATGGACTCAAACCCACGGCTGAGGGGAGCAGCGGGCAGACGAGGGCCAGTCCCTGGCTGGGATCGGACTCAGCTGCGGGGGCTGCGGACAGCTTCACAGTGCTGCGCTGTGACTCGTGGTGCCAGCAGGGAGGGCCTCTTGCCCCCTGCTCAGCAATAGAAGGCTGCCTCAGGCCAGCCTCGGCTTCCATCCCCTCTGACGCCGGCCAGCTTCCGGCCTGCACACCTCACTTTCCCACCCCTGTCGCTCTGTCCTGAAGGGAGAGGAACAGCACCCGCCTCCCACCGCCCTTGTGGACAGCCAGTCAGTGTGAGATTCAGAAAGTGCTAGAAAATCTGCCACGGAACCTGCCTCCGATGAGCACTGGTTTGTGCCCCTGGCTGGAGGCTCCCGGCTTAGTGGGCGGCACCCAGAGCGCCCTCGTTGGGACCGGGGAGCCTCCACCCTGTCCTGTCCGCCAGGCCCAACGGCCGCTGGCCGGCCACGGGAGGCCCGCGGGGCTTGGCCACAGCCTGCTGGGGCTGGCGCGTGCTGGCCCCACGTCCAGGGGTGTGAACAGAGCGTGTGGCTGCCAGCTCCCCATGGGGGACACGCGGCCTGGCGGTCAAGCTCGATTCTCCAGGGGTGAATCCCAGATTTCGGGTTGCAGCGTCTTGGGCTGCTGGGGGGTGGGGGGGCGGTGGGGCCTTCGGCCTCAGCTTCAGAGATGCCTTCGGCGCCAGCTTTATGAGGTCGTTTTCGTGGAAACAGTCTCTCTCTCAGAGACTTGCCCAGAACATGTCGGTTCAGAAGGGAACACTCCACAAATCAGCACTGTGAGAGGAGCCTGGCTCGGGTTGAAACCCCCAAGTCTCAGAGGCTCCCCCAGCCCCTCCGCCGGCCGCCTCGCTCCCCAGTGTCCCCGGTCCACGCGTCCACAGTGAGACAGAGGTGGGCCGGGTGGGCCTGCCACCACCACGCTGGAAGCCGGCCCCCATCGGGTGCCATTACTTCCCGGGCCTTTGGCGTTGAGAAATTAGCTTCCCAGCCTCAGTTTTCTTATCTGTAAGAAGGGAGTGGGCGGAATGACGTCATTCAGTCATTTGGTCAACATTTCCTAAGCCGCTGTGGGCCAGCGCAGGTGCTTGGGACATCGGGGTGAGTGAGCCCCGGAATCCGCCCTCAAGGAAGTGGAGGTCCGGTGGGGGGGGGCAGATGTGGGTCTGGGTGATCACAATCCAGGGAGACTGTGGGAACCCGAGGACAGTGACTAAACTCGCTGCGGAGGGTGGTGTTCCGGGAAGGCTTCCTGGAGGAGGCGGTGCCGGCCGAGACCTGAAGGACGAGTTATTGTCGCCAGCAGCCGAGGAGAGGGACGAGGCCCGGAGAGCCTAGGGGCGGCGGGGGGCGTCTCGGGGCGCCTGACGGGTCGCCCCAGTTCCACTGAAAGGTGCGCGCAGAGTCAGCGAGATCTGGAGTGCGCAGGGGCGGGCCAGGAGGACTGCGCTCAGCCTGTCCCGTCCACCCCAGTCCACCCCACGCGCGGCCTCCAGGGTGCGCTGGGCTGAAGGAGCCGTGGAGTCCTGCTGCGTTTGCTTTTCCAAAGGCAGCAGCACGCAGGGGGTCTGCTCTTTTATGTCCCGGGGCTGGGGACTCTGTCCCCGGGGGCAGGCGGTTGGGGGTCGGGGAGCAGGAGAGGGCGGCTCTGGGAGGTCAAGTGGCCAGACAGAGGGGGCGGTGAGGGGCCCAGGCCAGGTCGGGTGGGAGGTCCCGGTCCTGGGGCTGCTTGGGCCCCACCTGGTGGCGGGTGCCGCTCAGCTCAGCTCAGCAGGGCGGGACTGGGGACGCCGGGGCACACTGGAGGCAGGCGGGTTCTCTTCCCCGGTGACGGTGACAGTGACGGTGACGGTGACGGTGACCGGCCCAGCGGAGGCAGAGCTGCGGAGCAGAGAGCCAGGCGGGAGCCGGCCCTGCGGCGGGCGGGGGTGGCCTCGCTGACACGGGGCCTGCTTGCCCAACGGCTTCCCTGAGCCCCCACTTCCCTCCTCACGCCCAGCACCTGCCCTGCCCGCCACACCCGCCCCCACTTCCCGCCACACAGGCCCACACACGCTCCTCTCCGGCCCACGCGGGCGCCACCCCTCTCCTCCCACCAGGGGTCAAACTCAGGGGCCTCTTCTGCTGTGGCGCCGGGCCCATGATTCTCAGCACCCTCACATCCCTGATCCTGCTACGGCCGCGTCACCCCACATCCCGAAGCCTTCTGGGCCCCACCAGTGCCTCCTGCGCCATCCCCTCCTCGGGGGACCCTCCCCAGTGGGACCCACAGACGCCTCTTGGAGACCTGAGA